GGTCGTTTTTATTTTTGGATTAATTATTTTGTCATATTTCGTGATTGTTGAATTGCAAGTTGTAATTGTATATGATTTCGAGTAAATTAAGAGAAAAATAAATATTCATGGATCAATTTTGTATAAAAATATAAATTTAAGGACAAAATTGAAGAAATGTAAAATTACAAATAAAATTTTAAAATATAAATTAAACAACACACATAGGTAAGGGACTAAATCGAAATAAATTTAAAATGTGAGGTTTAAATAAATATAAAAAGGACTAAATTAAACACATTTAAAAAGTTATGGGCCAGTTACAAAAATATAAATAACAACTAACAATGGGCCAAATGAAGATACAAATATAAATTTAAGGACTAAATTGAATACATATAAAAGTGAAAGACTTAAAATTGAAAGAAATTAAAAAAAAGGATAAAATCAAAATAAATACAAAATGTGATGAAATAATGAAAAATATAGTAAATTGCATTCATTTACAAAATTAAAAAAAATATATATATATATATATATATATATATATATAATATAAGTTATTATAAACTATATAATTATTATAAGTTATATATATAAATTTTGTTTATATGAACTATATATGTAAACTATATATGTATAAACTATAAAAAGTATAAACTTAAACTAATATATTAATATAGTATATATATATATATATATATATATTATTCAAAGTGAGTGGTGTGAGAAACCTTTTTAAAATAAAGATCTTTTTGTGTGAAATTTTTTTATTTTATTTGAGAATTTAGAGGGAAATTAAGAAATTTTGAGAATATAGAATTTAGAGGGAAATTAGAAAATTTAGAGGGAATATAAAATTTTGGAGGGAAATTGAGATTTGAGATTTTATTTGGAAAGATATTTTGGGTTAATTAGGCTCATGCTCCTCCAACAATCATCATTTTTCCACTTGTATTTGATTTTTTATTTCTTTCATTTTACTAATGGTTTAATTGTAAATATCTTCTTGAATTTTCAATTCGATGCAAATTAATCATGTATACATTCTAATTACTTTTAATTTTCTATGTATGCAAGTATGTACGTATGTACGTATGTACGTATGTATGTATGTACGTATGTACGTATGTATGTATGTATGTACGTATATACGTATGTATGTATAAATCATGTATAGTGTATATAAACTATATATATATATAAACTATATAAAGTAAATTGCTTATATAGTTTATAAAAACACTATGCATAAGCTATATAAAGTAATAAAGTATATATGTTTATAAAAACCCTAAATCCTAAATCATAAACCCTAAACTCTAAACTCTAAACCATAAACACTAAATCATAAACCCTAATATAAATGGACTAACACTAATGCATATATATTTGTAATAAAAGAGTGGGCTTATGTATTGGGCCTAAATAAATTAATGTAAATGGACTATCACTAATGCAAATAGATTTATTTTTTGGTTTTATTATTGCTTATTCATAACAATAAAATAAATGGGCTATTATTGTGAATTAACCTAACATGCAACTAAAATACTAATTATGCAAATGAAATTAATATGACATGTACTATTTATGAACCATATAATATGCAATGTGACATACTAATTATTTAACACCTAATTAATAATGTTTTATATATTTTACATTTAAATAATCTTATTAATTTTATTAAATAATTTTATATAATATGTATGTATAAACCATGTATAGTATATATAAACTATATATATATAACCTACATATATATATATATATAAAGTATATAAAGTATATTACTTATATAGGTTATAGAAACACTATGCATAAACTATATAAAGTAATAAAGTATATAGTTTATAGAAACTCTAAATCATAAACTCTAAACCATAAACTTTAAACTATACACACTAAACACTAAACACTAAACACTAAACCCTAATATAAATGGACTAGCACTAATGCATATATATTTGCAATAAAAGAGTGCATTTATGTATTGGGCCTATGTAAACTAATGTAATGTACTATTACTACTGCAAATGGACTTATTTTTTTATTATTATTACTTATTCATAACAACAAAATAAATGGGCTATTAATGTGAATTAACCTAACATACTAATTATGCAAATGAAATTAATATGACATGTGCTATTTATGAAGCATATAATATTCAATGTGACATACTAATTATTTAACACCTAATTAATCATGTTTTATATATTTTACATTTAAATAATCTTATTAATTTTATTAAATAATTTTATATAATATGTATGTATAAACCATGTATAGTATATATAAACTATATATATATATATATTATATAAACCTATATTTATATATATAAACTATATAAAGTATATTACTTATATAGTTTATAGGAACACTATGCATAAACTATATAAAGTAATAAAATATATAGTTTATAGAAACTCTAAATTATAAACCCTAAACCCTAAAGTTTAAACTATACACACTAAACACTAAACACTAAACCCTAATGTAAATAGACTAGCACTAATGCATATATATTTATAATAAAAGAGTGGGTTTATGTATTGGGCCTATGTAAACTAATATAATGGACTATTACTATTGCAAATGGACTTATTTTTTTATTATTATTACTTATTCATAACAACAAAATAAATGGGCTATTAATGTGAATTAACATAACATGCAACTAAAATACTAATTATGCAAATGAAATTAATATGACATGTACTACAATTTATGAACCATATAATATGCAATGTGACATACTAATTATTTAACACCTAACTAATCATGTTTTATATAATTTATATTTAAATAACTTTATTAATTTTATTAAATAATTTTATATAATATGTATGTATAAACCATGTATAGTATATATAAACTATATATATATATATATATAAACTATATAAAATAAATTACTTATATAGTTTATAGAAATACTATGCATAAACTATATAAAGTAATAAAGTATATAGTTTATAGAAACCCTAAACTTTAAACCCTAAACCCTAAACTTTAAACCATAAACAATAAAAACTAAACCATAAATCATAATATAAATGGACTAGCACTAATGCATATATATTTGCAATAAAAGAGTAAGCTTATGTATTGGGCCTATGTAAACTAATGTATTGCAAAATTATTTATATTAATAATGTAAAACATTAATATATATATTACATAATAAATACTTTCATTATTAATATTAATTTTTTCATTATATAAATTAAACTATATAATTTATATAAATTAAACTATATTAATTTTCCTTTGCATTATTAATCATGTTTTATCTAATTTACATTTAAATAATTTTATTAATTTTATTAAATATTTTTATATAATAGGTCCATTTATTAATTTAATTATCATAATAATTTTTTTATAACATTTAAAAAGTAATCATATTAATTTTTAATTACATCAAAAACTAAAAAACTCATAATTTTATTAAAATCTTATAATTTCGTCCATGATAATATATAAGTCAGGTAAATATCAGATTAGGTCATTAACAAGTCGGATCATTTACAGGCCAGGTTAAAAACATGTCAGATTAAAAACAGGTCAGGTTGAAAACAAGTTGGGTAATACCAGTTATTTATCAGGTCAATCTCATGTTCAAGTTCATATTAGTAGGATGCAGTTCGAGTTCGGGTATCATATTTTCGGTTTAATTCGGGTTCATGTCGTTCTCAGGTCGGATGCAAATCGGGTTCAGATCCACAATTTCCAGGTCCAAATCGGGTTCAGGTTAACACCAATTCCGACTTGAGTCAGTTTCGGATCGCTACAGTACAGGTCAAAAGCAGTTTTGACTCGAGTCGGGTTCAATCAGTTTTGCAAGTCGGGTCAATTTTTTGCAGCCTTATATGAAACAATGTTTTATAAGATTTGTATCATGATGTATTTATATTGAGATTACAAAACAATCAATATTGATAAATTCACTTTAAGGGGTGCTTTAACAATAGGTAATATGGTTGAACAGATGATGTCAAAATCTAAGTTAGGACGATCCTAACTTATGCCACCAACAAAGCATGTTGTTAATCATTATATCTTGTTATTTTATGATGAATGGTTTTTTTCTTCTATGATAAACAGAGCATCCAGTTGCATGCGTGGTTGTGCTTTGTACATTCCCATACATGTTTGACATCATTAACCCTTCTAACCTTGTAATTAATCGAGTGACATATGTTTCAGTTTTTCATTGCTCTCATTGCATGTTTTTTTTTTATTCAAAACATCATTCCAGTCTATAACTCACAATCACGAATATGAGAGTTAATACCACCAATTCATAAATAAGACATAAATAAGTCAGTGTTGTACATATGGGATGGAAGTTGGTAGGGTGGTAGAATTGGGTTGCTATTTTCAGCCCCCATTTGATTGCATGTTGTGTTTATTGGGACTTCATCATTAGAGTTGTCACTGTCATACTCCATGCCAAATAGAATGAGAAATGAATAAATTTATCTAAACACCTTTGGGATTAGACTCTTTAAGCTATTTTCTAGAGACGAATGACCATTTGAGTCGACTATAAAATTACGATTAGGTGTTGATGTTCTTTCCCTGGTGAAGAAAAAATGCTGAACTTTATCTAGCATTCATATCAAACTCAGTAGTACAAGAATACATCTTCATAGATGATAACATCATATCAACATATAGGTTATAGGTTGAATGTTGTATTGGTGGCATTTCAAAGTTAACATCAAAAGAGGTAAAAGACATACGAAGATGTATATCTTTCGTATAAAGGTTACAATCCCATTATATACAATAATACTAATATTTATATATAGTAAACCTAGCTAATCAAGGAATACAAATAGGAAATAAACGATATGAATCCCAAAATATTAGGAGAGATTTTCTTCTTTAATTGTCTGCAAGGTCGTTGGTGGTCAACAAGTATCAATTTGCTCACAAGATACTCATGGCGAGTAAAATGCATAGGTTTAGTGAATAAGTCTACAATTTGATCATGAGAAGAGACATGAACAAGGCATAAAACTTTTTCTTCAACCAATTAACGGATGTAATGACAATCAACTTTAATGTGTTTCATCCGCTCATGATGAACTGGATTGGTTGCAATGCTGATAGTGCTAGTATTATCACAAATAGAGGAATAGATGTATGATCACCACTAACACCAAAGTCAAGGAAAAGTCTTCGAAGCCATTCAAGTTCAGAACTAACAGAACACATGAATCGATACTCAGCTTCAGTAGAAGATTTGAATACCTTGTCTCGCTTCTTACACTTCCATGAAATGGGGGAAGCACTTAAGAAAATACACCAACCTGTCGTGGAACAGCAAGTGTCAACACACCTGGCACAGTCAGCATCGGAATATGCTTCTAGAGTAAGAGGTGTGTTGGAAGGAAAGAAAAGACCACGTTCACAAGTGCCCTTAAGATAGCGAATGATTCAATGAAGTGCTAAAAGATGAGAAAGTCGAGGCTGAGAAACAAATTGACTAACAACCTGAACAACAAAAGAAATATCAGAACATGTGATGGTAAGATAAATAAGACTACTCACTAAGCGACGGTATAAAGTAGGATTATAAAGAAATACACCATCATCACGTTTTAATTTCAAATTTTGTTCCATAGGAGTTGAACAAACTTTATTATCAGTCAAACTGGCTAATTTGAGGAGATCATCAAGGTACTTTCGCTGTGTAAGAAAGATGCCGTTAGAGGAGGAGGATATTTCCAAACCCAAAAAATAAGTACGAGTCCCAAGATCCTTCATATTAAAGGAATCATGAAGAAACCTTTTAAACTCAATAATTCCTTGTTGATCACTACCAGTGATGACCATATCATCATCATAGAGAAGCAAATTAATAATACCATGAGAAGAGCGGCAAATAAATAATGATGGATCATTGAAACTTTGCTGGAAACCAACTGAACAAATGGTAGAGTGAAACTTCTCAAACCTTGCTCGAGGTGTCTATTTGAGACCATAAAGAGATTGATTAAGTTTGCAATCCATATTAGAATCACCAAGAGTATAACCAGGGCGATATTCCATATAAACAGTTTCCTTTAAATGGCCGTGAAGGAAAGCATTTTTGACATCCAATTGATACAATGGCCAATGTTGACTAGATGCGATTACAAGAAGAGTTCGGATGGTAGTCATTTTTGCAACTGGAGCAAATGTTTCTTCGTAATAATTCCCATATTCCTGCTTGTATCCTTGAGCTACCAATCGAGCTTTATAGTGGTCTAAAGTACCATCAAGCTTAACTTTAATAGTATAGACCCATTTGCTTCCTATGACAATGGTATTAGACAATCAAGGGACTAAATCCCAGGTATGATTCTCTGTTAATACGTCAATTTCCTTATCCATAACCTTTTTCCAACATGTTTTCTCTATTGACTGTTTATAAGTAGAAGGAAGCTGAACAGAATTAAGGTTAATAAAAAGAGTTAAGCAATCAGGTGGTTTACCAAATTTGACACAAGTGGATCATTTTAAAGGAGGTAAAGGCGATGGTGATGCAGGACCGAGGATTGTAGTGGAAGGACCTTCAAGCTCATGATCAAGAAGAGGTACAACAGGCATGTCAGAATCAACACTAGACGAACTAGAAAATGAAGGATCCAAAAATCATACAACATGGAAATGGTAGAATTTGGAGGTAATTCAGGTGAGACATAAAAATACAAGTGCTAAAAAAATGACATTACGAGATACTCGTAGGTGATGAAGGTGGGGATCATAACAAAGGTAACCTTTCTTTGTATCACTATACCTAATAAAAACACATTTACCAGCCTTTGCAGATAATTTCTGTCATTCATGGGATGGATTAAAACAAAACAAACACAACCAAAAACACGAAGATGCACAAAATTTGGGGATTTATGAAAAGAGAAAAGAATGGAGATTGATTACCAAATATAGGAGTAGTATGTCTGTTTATAAGATGAACAACAATATGGATATCCTCTACCCGAAATTGAGATGGAACATGAGACTCCAGTGAAAGAGATCTAGCAATTTCCACAACATGACGATTTTTACGCTTCACCACCCCATTTTGTCCGGGAGTCCCAGGACAAGATTGTTGAGCTAACATACCTTTATCATTGAAGAATTTAACATGTTCAGACTCACAAAAAACTCCACCAGGATCAGTATGAAATATTTTTATTGTATTCCCAAATTCTGTTTCTATCATAGTGATAAATGTTTTGGAAACTTTGACTAATTTAGATTTAGCACGTAAGAAATACACCCAAGTATAACGTGTAAAGTGATCAATAAATAGAACAAAATATTTATAACCAAGTCTTGATAAAATAGGTGAAGGTCCCACAAATCACTATGAATAAGATCAAAAGATGCATCAACTTTAGTAGTATTAGAGGCAAAAGGTAATTTAGCAAATTTACTAAGAACAAACGTTTGACAATGACGAATAATATTATTCTTATCATTCAATCTATCTGGAAGAATCAGCATATATTCTAACCTACTTGTATGTCGGTGACCTAAATGAAGATGCCATAGATCACAATTGTTTTGTTGAGGTGAAATAGAAGATATGATGGTAAGATTGTTAGCTCTAATGAACAACCGAAAAATGCCAAGAGGGGGTGAATTAGCCTTTTTAAGATTTTGGTGGAAGCAATAAAAAATAAATAACTTTGCACAATGATTTAGAGTAGTTCGACTTCTAAACCAAGTCTACATCTACTACCTTAGCTATCCAGACTAAGGATTTATTAAATCCACTAGATTTGCAAACCTTTAAGGATAAGGTGTAACCTTACAAAGACATACGATATTTATACCCCAAAACCTTGTTTACACACTCTCCCAAAGAGAAATTACAAACTTAGCAAACAAAAGAAAACATCACAAAGGCAAATGAGTTTGCAACTAATTAAGCACACACCCAACTTACACTTGAGCAAAAATAAACAAGAAGCTTACAAGTGTATTTACAAGAATTTAGCAATTTAGAACTAAAAACTCTTTTGATGATGAAATGATCTTGCAATTAACTTTCTTATTGTTCTCCATTTGAATCTTGGTCCATTTTATGTCTTCTAACATCAATCTAGCCATTTGGAGTCGTTGGGGATTGAATAGAGCCGTTGAATTCATTAATTTTGAGCATTTAACGTCACCTACACATATGGTATCGATACCAACAAGTTGGTATCAAGACCGAGCCTTCTAATGGACAAATTTATAGCCGTTAATCCTTCAGTATTGATACTGCTTGAATCAGTATCGATACCCACTCTTCGATCTTGATATTGGGACCCTAGTATCGAGACTGGTAGTTGTTTTGGAAAAAATAAGTGTTTTGAGCTTTAAAAATAATGTTTATAAAAAGCAGATTAACTCAAAAACACTTGGAATTATTTTTCACACTTAAAAATAATTTAAAATTATTTATGACAAATTATATATAAATATTGTGAAATTGAAAATTTTTACAATTTAAAATACTAAAATAATCATTTATATCAAAATCAAAATTTAGTTCGACAATCACCCCTTTTTGATATAACAAAACTTTTGTGAAAATTTGCTTTTAGAAGATTTGTCATATTTTGTGAAAAATAAGTCTCCCCTTAGAAAAACAGTTTTTGGCTAAAATGATTTTTGGCTAGCAAATTTACACGTATACATGTTTCTCTCCCTTTTTCTTATAGCAAAATTTAATTAAGCTTTAAAAGAGAAAATATGTTAGTGTAATAGGGAACTCAAATATTCAACATAAAATAATCAAAAGTCAAATTATGCTTATCATAAAATAACGAAATTCAAAAGCATAATATCAACATCAATAATTCAAACATCAATCCATAAAGTACCAACAAACCAAGTATCAAACATAAAATAACATAAAGTTACAAAATAAGTCATAAGATGCATAAGACCAAATTAAAATGCAAAAGTCCTAAAATGACAAATAAATGCCTAATATTTTAAAGGTAGTGGCGAAGGATAGGGAGACAAGTGATGGCGCATCAAGCGAACGTCACTCTCAAGTACATCCAAGTGAGTATATATGCTCTCGAGTCTTTGCATCATGTGTTCGTACAAAGTCTTCATCGATATCTCCTCTTGAGGTGGGGGCACCGATTGCTCTTCCATTTCGTCCTCTTCCTCTTCGATGTTGTCCATGTTTGGTCTAAAAGGATGCCACTCACAGGACATGGCATTAAAGTCCTAAATGGTCTTGTGGGTCGATTTTATGTTGACGACACTAACGAGGGAGACACTCTAAGTTTATCCCTAAATATGTAGCTAAAAGTTCAAGCACATGAAAGTGTCTTGGTATAATTGGACCCTTTATGGACAACATCAACAAATTCTAAGAATATGATTTTTCCATAGTTTGGGCGGATGTTTTCTTATTATTATAAAACCACCAATAGTCGTGAGTGCGCATATGGTAACCTTACCACTCGAAGGACAAAAGAACCAAGTGAAGAGGAGTAGCAAGAGATGATCCGAGAAATCAAGATGAATAGGGTTATCATATGGGAATCTCTAGAAAGTATTATGGAAAACTTCTTTGAAAGGATCATCATCCCTATCAACGATATTTAAGTGGGCAGCGATGGAGGATGGACTAAGAGTAAAGGTTTGACCCATGAGATATGACTCAATTCCAACAATTCTTTCCTCATTTCTTTGGGCATGGACAAGAATAGCGTTAACAATGAAAGCACGAACAAGGTTTGGATGAACATTGGGAGGAATGCAAAATAAGTCCAACTATCCCCACAAGACGAAGGTTTCAAAAATAGGAAATTGATACACTTCGAACAGAGAAAATGAGGTTATATGGTACGCTCGGAACATATTTTTTATGTTTGTAAAAACTATTATACCTATGGAGAGCTTCGGGATTCCTAATGCAAGCATTTTCAAAGCTTACAAAATTAGAAGATTGACCTTGGAGGATAGTCCTACTAGTTCTATGACACATGGGATTTGTTTTATGAGGCATTTTGAACAAAAATAAAGGCTAAAGACAAGATAAATGTTTTTATAGGAATTTTGTTGAACACTTGGTGGACAATCCTTAAACAAGGGTTCTAAACAAAAATAGTGAATGAGTTAACATCCTGCAAGAAAAACACATTTAAAGCAACCCAATAAACTAAACAATATCATCAATTTTGTTTAAAAATGCATAAGGTTTGAAAATTTTCAAAATCCTATATTAAAAAAATTTGATTTTTTTAAAGAAATATGTTGTTGAAGATATGTAAAATAGTTCAAACAATTCATATATAATTTCTAGAGTCAAAATAAATCTTAAAAATGCGATTTAAAAACAATTTTAAACCTAAATTTTGAAAAATACAAGAATTGGTTTAAAATTGATTACCTCAAGTTTTGATGAAAACTAGTGAAGTTGATGAAGAAAATCCATTAAGATTAATGAATGATTGAATAATTAAGCATGAATTTGCGAATGAACGAAGTAGAAAAAGATGGATTTTTAGAGGATTTAAGGGATAACTGGTTAGGGTTTTGAAATAAATAAGTTTATTTGGGGATTTTGAGTTTTAAAGCATAAAAAACGTAAACAGAGGCCCTGATCTTGATACCGAGACAGGCAATCTCGAGACCCCTTACATGATATCGATACTAAAAGGCGGTATTAATACCAATTTTGGCTTCTGGAATTTCGTTCTCGATACCAATTTATTGGTCTCGAGACTAACAACTTGGAAATGCCAAATTTGGCATTTTTGTCCCTCAAACGCTTCCGGAATAAGCACCTAATGATTTTAAGACTATAGAGTGCACTAGAAACTTATTTAAGCACTAAAAAATATAATTTGATATTAAAATTTAGTGTTCTTCTATGTACTTTACAAGAGTGTTTATTATTGACATTTTAAAGAATTTTCTACTTAGACCAAATAAGGTCCAAAACATACCACAAAGATTAGTTAAGGCCAAAGATTATTAAATTAAGCATACAAGGCCATAAAAATATACTTCATGCAATATTGAATCCTTATTACTAATTGCAATTAAGAATAAATTGGGGACACACAATCAAGCACAAAAAACACATGTAATCACATAAAATGCATTGACATTGTTCACCATTGCTACAACACACCTATAGTAGACAATTAAGCAACTTTTGGTACCCAAATCTTTTTGGGTCCATTGATGTTAGTTTCAAGTAATTTAATCCCCTTAGGTATCCATGAAGATATGATATCTTTGTCTTTAGTAGCAATGAGTCCTTTTGGGAACCATATACTTTTAACCATTTTTCTTTTAAAATATTTAGGGGAATAAGCATGTTTATTGTAAAACTATTTTTGACAAAATTAGATTTTAAGTAATATTTTCTTTCGAATTTATTTTTAATATTGTTTTTCAAAATTAGCCATTTCTTTCTCAAGATCATCAATTTTCTTTTGATGATCCTTATGAACTTTGGAATTTTAAATACTTTTTCTCAAAAATATTTAATTTCTTTTGAAAATCCTTGACTTTGCTTTCATGTTCTCTATTAGTCTTAGAAAGTGAGTCATTTTCAATTTTCACTTTTGAATGAATCTTTTTGTGTTTTAAAGTCATGATTTCACATTCTAATACAAATTCACCATAGGCATCTTGTAACTCATCAAATGAATATGAATTTGAATTAGATGAGTTTGAGGATATCTTTGAATCTTATTGGATTGCCATGAGGCAAAGGTTGGCTACTTCTTCATTTTCATCATCAGTGACGTCTTCATCACTCCAAGTAGCAACAAAAGCCTTCTTTGGCTTGCTAGATTCTTTCTTCTTTAAGTGAGGAAATCATACTTGAAGTGTCCCAGTTTTTGGCAATGATAGCATATGATAGGATCCTTCTCCTTCTTTGATTCATGCTTCCTCTCTTTTTCTTTGGATGATATGAATCACTTGAATTTCTTAAAGAGCTTTGCCATCTCTTTATATTCTTCATCCACCTCTTCACTAGAATCCTCTTTATCTTATTTGGTAGACGAAAGAGCAATTCCAACATCCTTTTTTTTTCTTTTCTTCTTCATTCTTCCT